CGCGGCTCCAAAGGCGTAACCGGTCACGTGTCACGTCCACCGCGAACTTGACGACTGCAGCGCACGACTCGCCGTCCCACCGCATCTCGCAAGCCCTGGACGCACTCAACGGCGCTCATCACACCGGAACGGCACAGGCTACACTTTATCATGCATCTGGCGACACAACAGCACCTATTTACAAGCGCTACACATCCAACACCATGTCCAATTCCGGGTCCAAGATCTCCTCTGTCATGGGCTGGCCGTCAAACTCGAAACCCCCGGGATTCTCTTCTTCACGACTCTGGCTACTGTTTCGGGACTGGGCTTGTGTCGCTAGGTTGGCTATGTGGCGCTCCACGGCGTCAATCAAGGCAACGAGCTTCTCCTTCCTGCGAGGGAGGAGCTTCTTCATCGGGATCTGCGCGTCGTTCTGGCGGAAGAACTCGAGCTGCAGGTCGATCGTCTTGCACAGCAGCAGTCGCTCGTTACCCTGAGCTAGCCGGAGGAAATCGAGGTCGAGCATGGGTTCAACGGTACGAAGTTTCTGCACCTTCTTCTCCTCTTTCGCCCGTGCCTGTTCGACCTTCTCGCGCCCAAGTGCAGCTTGTCTCTGCGCCGTCTCGACGTGTTCTGCGCGCTGCTTCTTGGCTAGTCCACTCGTGTCCTCATCACGCACCGCTTTTCGAAGCCAGGCCTGGTCTTCGTTTGAGAGGCCGGTCTGTATGTAGTCTTCTGTATCGTTCTTGTTATACAATTCCATCGCGTTATGCATTGACAGAGTGATATTGGAGCTCCGCGCGAAAGCCCGTCGCATAGTGCCAAGCCCGCCCTCGTTCCGGTCGTTGGTAGGATCCATAAAAGCAAGAGTTTGCTGGTGCGCTGATGCGGATGCAATGACGCCGTCCGACGCGAATTCGGCAGTGAAGGTGAGCCATTTGTCCAGAGCGCCCTCCAAGAAGGCCACAAGAGCATGCCTGAGATCCGGAAGTATTGGTCTGAGCTCATGAACAGCATACACAACATGTGGCTCGTGCCAGGGAGTTCCCAAGAGGCATGCACAAGCAGAAGAATCCGATGCGAGCAGTAGTTCGGGGTCAGCAATGATCTTGCGGATATGTGCGATGACTTCGTCGTGGAACGGGCCCAAGTTGAGGTGATTCATATATGCGCCGTCTCGAGTAGCAGCTCCGCGAACATGTTGCATGTAAGGCACAGATATACCTTGATAGTACAAAGCCTCAACAGCGAGTTCAGTCAGTGTCGGAACATCCTGAAGTGCGTAGTAAACATTCTTCTCCAGGTTCGTGAATGTACGGCTGCCCTTGGTGTCCCGCAGCTCATCAAGTACCGTCGAGATTGTGTGCCGTTTCCACAAACAGAATCCTGCGCCATCACCGTAGGAGCCATAACGAGTGTTGCTAGTATCCGGAAAGACTAGTCGATAGCCAGAGCGAGCCTCGAGCCACCAGCTAAAAGTGTCGTGATATCCCTTCTTGTTGTCCTTGTGATTGAACAGAGCCCCACAGAGTTGTACGAGCTTCACACCGCCGGAGGTTGACGAGTCAATGGCGCGTTGACGGTGTCGCAGACGGAAGTTTGTTGTATGTGTTGTGTTGTGGCTGTGTCGAAGAGGCGAGGGGAATTCTTGAGGTGATAGGAGTATACCACCGATTCTTCAGCTTCTTCTTGCAGCAAACTTCCCTGAGGTCCCGGGCTATCTAAGTCGGGGATTGCTCAGTTGGCCGTCGGTTAATGAACCTGACTTGAATTTGATGGGACAAGCTTTGTGAGCTTGTCGGCGATACCTAAAGAGGTAATAAGACGGTTAGCCTGTATGGGAGGCTTGAGGGGTCTTGTGTGGATGTGTTGTACGACGCGCCGTGCGTCGAAGTTCCTAGAGAAATAAAAGGGAGAGATCAGTTGTTCCTTGGGTGGCGGAGGTGATAGAGCGTGGGAAACGGTTTCGAACAGCCTACGGTGGCTGTGTAGAGTCGATAGAGTCGATATAGAGTCGATAGAAAAGCTGTCCAGGCACTCGAGTCCTGACAGAGAGGGGTTCAGCAGACGACTGCTGGGCGCGTTTAGAGTGAAACTTGTTGATTGCTCATTCATGCCGATTCGGCTACATTTTATACTCCTTAGCTAGGCCAGCTTTCTGAGTCATATTAGTAATCCTAGCAGTGCTGAGTCAGCTTTCTGACTCAGCCGAGTCATGATTTGTCATGTGCTGACTAAGATTGGGCACCGCTTAGTAATCCCCTTTCCTAATATGGTCAAACTTTCCTGGGCTCATTTAAGGGACATGCTTGGTCTATTCTACTTAGATTCTATACTACTACATACAGAGAGGCTGCAGATGATAAAAAA